CAGCTACATAAGCCTTTTGAGTAAAGACTTTCTGAGAATAGACAGAAGTGTATGAATGTGATCTAAAGCTCTTATTAGTCTCTTTAGAATGATTTGTTCAATTAGCTTTGTAGAGATCTAGTAGAGTGCTGTATGAATGGGTAAATGAGGACACAGATTGTAGTGTAAAGTGCTTTGAGTATCTTGAAATAAGATAGAAAGGCGCTATATAAGTACAGTCCAGTTACCAGTTATACTATTTTAAATTTTAAACTCTTTGTATGTAACAGAATATTTTCTCAACCATCCCTTGTTTTTCTCCAAACTTTTTGTTAGAAAAATACGAAATGTAGGCAGGGCCGGCCCAAGCCTCCATGGGGCCATAAGCGAAATTTGGTTTGGGGTCCTCTATTTCTGCTAATAATGTGGATTATTGCAATCAACAGTCAGATGATTAGATTATTCACCCGCCTAACATAAACTCATTGCAACTCTTAAAAAAAAGCAATATGCAATGTATTTTACAGCAAAAGTGTAATCTGGTTTATTATCTTTGGTTCCAAAGAACTGCAGCAGTAATGTTCAAAATAATCTGTAATGCAAGATCAACAAAAAAAGATAAAATAACTTAGATGCATAAAAATAAATTAAATTGTGCAAAAACAGACACAATTAAATAAAAAATAAGTGTCAAGGAAATACTTAAATAATGAAAATGAACAATTACTTGAAACCACATAAAATGGTTTAAAAAATTTAAAGCTGAATAATTGGTTCTTAAAACTATGTAAATGTATGCGAAAAATTTGCAAAAGCTTAACTTAAAATATTAAATAGAATCATATAGAAAGCAGTACTAAAAAATAAATAAATAAATTCCACTTGGGCGGCCCTAGTGACCCTGGGGCCAAAGGCAGCCGCTTAGTTTGCTTATGTCTTGGGCCGGCCCTGAAGGTACATGTAGGTCTGCTTTTGCCACTTTTCAGAAATCTTTAAACCGTACTCGTGACTGTGGCTATCCTCTGATGGACTCAGCAGGACCGCAAACAACTTTAAACCCTACCTTTTATTTAATCTCATAGCTGTTAAAGATTTGTGACTGTATTTCGCAGAGTTGATCAACTAAATCTATCCACAGACATAACGACACAAATAATGTTTCCTAAAGCACTCAAAATACTTTTATAATAGTCCTGATACCACAGATGTCCCCAAGAACATAGTTTGCCATGATGACGGAGAAAAACACACTTACTTGCTGTTGGGTCTAGTAAACATGGACGCACAAAACCACCCACTGAAAAACAATTCTTTTAAGTATGATGTATTCAGCAAACAGCAAGAGCCAAAATGTTTTGCACATGTAAGGACAATTAGGCCTAATTTTGGCTCAAATTGCTTCCTGTAATGATGAGTGGACATACTTAACAGGTCACTCTCATCTGCCAAACATAGGCATTTAAAGTATCAGTTCCAAGTCGAAGGAAAGATGAAGAAAAATGTAAAAAAAAAAAAACTGTTCTCACACACACACACATACACCACTGATATACACTACATAAACACTTGAACCTCTCACAATCCACTTTCATACCACAAGATCAGTGATAAAATCATTAAAGCCAAAGAGCTTTAAAAGAATTTCAAACATGAACACAAGCTGCCAGCTTTCTTCAGCCTGCTGATTGACCCACCCACATGTACGAACCTGCTGGTGAACAAACCACACACATAGATAGTTTTCCACCCACCTCGGTGCCCATTAGAGAAGCAAAAAGAAAAAGGAGCCAAGTCAGAAAAAGATGCGATTGTGCACAATTTTCATCTATTAGAAAACAAAAGTACTGAAAGATCATATAAAGAATAAAGGCATGTGGCTGGGATTAACCTTACCCAGCCTATAAAGAACATTTCTCCAGTTTCTGCATGTTTTAAAGACATAATTCAATTTAAAACATACTGTATATCCATCCATCCATCCATCCATCCATTATCTTTACCTGCTTCTTTCTTTTTGGGTGGCGAGGGTCACTGGTGCCCATATACTGTGCAAGAGGTGGGGACACCCTGGACAGGTCTCCAGTCCATCACAGGGACACTTAGAGACAAACAACCATTCACTCTCTCACTCACACCTAGAGACAATTTAGAGTTACCAATCAGTCTAACATGCATGTTTTTGGTCTGTGGGAGGAAACCGGAGTACCCGGAGAAAATCCTCATATGCACAGAGAGAACATGCAAACTCCACCCAGAAAGGCCCCCGGTCAGGATTTGAACCGGAGCAACCTTCTCGCTGAGAGGCAACAGCTCTACCAACTGATCCACCGTGCCGCCCTTTAAAGCATATAGTTCAAGTTTAATAGTTAACAAGAAAAAATTAGGGAGAGAATAAAGCATTTAAGTACAGAATCCTGCCATTTCCAATATGGTGACATATAGTTTAAAGTGTCTTTACACATTATTGCATTTTCAGCATTACTACAGTGTGTCTACGTTGGGGAGGGGGGATTGAATGTGCACACTCACCTCTGTCTGCAGAGTATTGGCCCGTTGATCCTTGGCACTGAGAGACTCTTTCAGCACCTCAATGTGTTGCTTGCAGTCAGAGTTCTGATTGATCAGTGTGTCTAGTTTGGTCTGCAGGGTCTGCATCTCGGACTCCTTCTTGTTCAGCTCCTGCTTCAGCTGCTCTATCTGATAAATCACACAGAGACATTTTTCTATTTAAAAAAAAATGTCAGTCACTGATGATGTTGTTTCTGCTTTTAAAATTAATTTTCCTATAAACACATCATTTTATCACCATATTCCAGTTTGTTTTTGTTCTCTGTAAAAAAAATATATATTAACTGAGAAAAATCTGACATGTTTCTGATGTTGAGAACTTTGAGAATATTGCATCATTTAGTTATTGCCATCTAAATATGTAATTTCTGTGGTCATGAATTAAACTGGAGAGGTCAAACACTGTAATATTGAATCATCACCCAGCCCTGTAATATCAGTCCTCACCCAGCCCTGTAATATCAGTCCTCACTTTGAAATCCCAGGTCAGTTGTCTGGACACACCAAACTAAACAGCCAAAGAGGAGAAAATCATGCGGGGAGACAGAATGATTGTTTAAAGGAAAACCATAGAGAGCATAACAGAAAACCACACAGGAAATCAAGTGCACTAACAGTGGGAAGGGTCTACTTGAGATAGGTATGGCGAGATGATTGGAATTTGTCTCTCGCTGCCAAAAATCCACAACGTAGATTTAAAGAGATATTTTTTCAAATTGAATGAGTAGGCTCGACCTCATAAAAAGAGGAAATTCTAACAGGATCAGAGCATGGCCAAAAAACATGTCACATTGTAAACCCACAATAAAAGTAGCACAGGAGGAAAAAAAACTAGGAGACATCAGGCAGGATTGTGAGGCGGTGTTAAAAGATGATTAAAAAGGGGAGATGAGAGAGAGAACACAGGGGAAAAAATGAGTCAGGACTTTAATAAGTAGTGGACTGATCATGCTTTTAGCAAACATTAAAATAAAAAAAAAGGAACAAAGACTTTAAACATTACAAGGTGATGACAAATAAGAGAGTGGACAGACTAATGAGATGTGTACTTCTGCTTGTTCTGTGATCCAAGGCTGGGTGGAGGGGAGGAAGGTGGGAGCTGGTCTGATGGAGGACACACAGGGTGACAATGCCTGCTCCTACAGAGACACGGAGACAAGAGGACAACAAGCCACTAAACTAAAATGCTTCTGTGCACAGCCACGTTCTTTTACACATTTTACTACTTTTCCAATGAATTTCATAACCTTTTCTAACGCTCTAATGCCAGACCGTGTTCAGAAGCCATTTTCTACTGTTTGGGTAGATCAAAGTTCAGAGAGGAAACCAGAGAGGACCGAGATGCTGCCCTCTCCGGTTTCTCTAATGACAGTTGCACCTCAACACCAGTCACCACCACAGCTGAAAGACCAGGACCCCAAACACTTCAAAGATATAGAATGAATCTTTGCATAGCCATATGTGCGGAGACTTTCTGTTTCTGTGCGACCGAACGCAGAAAGACGAGACATGCGAGAGCGAGTCAGGCCCATCCATGTGATGTATATCGTGAGTGAGGAGAGAGAGCTTCTTCCTCTGTTTCTCTGTCGTCGTGGGCTCACATTCATCTGTCAGAGCCCCATTCATAAAAAACAAAAAACACATCTCTTTTATGATTGCATCTGGAACTTCCCTGATGCAATGACAAATGGGCCCTACAAAGAGCACCATTTAATGAGTCCATGTGAAAACATGAAGAAATTTCCTTGGCTTCAGCCATCTCAGACATATGGACCCAAGCTCTGTGGAACCTGAAACTTAATTCCAAACATGGATTTTGACCATATGTTAAATGGACTGCTCTAACAAATGGAACGTTTTATACTGAAAGTCACAGTTGTCCATTCAAACACAAATTCAGCGATTTATACATGTGATTTTTTTTTTTTTTGCGTTCACATATAAAAACAGCTTTGAAAGAAGAGTCAAGTGTTTCTAAAGATCTTTCTGTCATGCAAAGGTTGAACAATGAGCCAAGATGGTGCTCTGAAAGCTGGTAGCTCCTGCAGATGATTCAACAGACTAGATCCATTAGCATGCAAAGGAAATACACAACATCCTCACTGACAGGTTCTTGTGCACTTGTTTTGAACATGCATTAGACAGATCATGCAGCTTGATGTTAGCTGGGTTGCACGCAGAGATATTCTACCTTAGTTTTCATGAACTTAGAGTGGCTCTTGTAGACCTCCACCTGCTTGAGCTCCTCCTGCCTCTCGTCTGGGTGCAACAGGCCGCTGGTTTTTAGCATCTGGACCTCATCTTCTAAGTCTCTGATGTTTCTTTCCAGGGAAGAGATCTTTGTGTCCTGCACCAGCAACAGCAGGCAGGCAAATAGGTCAGCAAAGAGCTGCTTAAAAATCTGAACCTCAAGGCTAAAACAAGGCTTTGTGTACTATTGCTGTACATTTCAATCCATATACAGTTTAACGGAAAATGCCCAGAAAAACAAATCAGCCGAAGAAAACAAATAATCCGTAATCAGAGTTGCAGCTGAATCTTGACACTGAATAAAATGGTGTACAATGACAAAGTACAAAATATATTTTAATAAACCACATTCACAAAATAACTCTTGTATCTCTGGCCCATTAAAGCAAACTAAACACACAAAGTACACTAAGCACACCCATATTGTCAAAAAAAAAATGTATTTTTGTGTTGTTTTGTTTTATCTAGAGTGAAAAGGGAGGATCTGTCATGGACAGGTCCTGAGGTTGTTTAGTTGCATGGAATCAGACATGTGTTAAACGCTAAACCTTGAAGAAGATGAGAAATGTAATTAAATAACGAGAAGCAGATTGAACAACGCCATCAGCACAAACCACAAGCAACATGTAAGCATCTGACCACTATTAGATTGTCTGACATCAGACCTGCCAAGCACATGCTGGTGCACACACACATAGATCAAGCAGAAAATCAAGAAGGTGCATCCCCATCACACACACACACACACACACACACGTATCACAGAGGGACACGGATTTTTAAAAAGAACATAGCAAAGATAAGTCATGATTTCTGCAATCTAAGTCATGGTTGGAATAAATTATTGCAACCAGGAGGAGAGAAAAAACAAAGAAAAACAGCTAATTATCAAAATTAACACTTAAAAGAAAAAAAGATGGCTCATAACCAAAGGAGAACCTCAAATGTGTGGAGACGCAATGCCGTAGTTGTACTTTATCCCAGAAAAAACAAATAGTTTAAAAGTAATAAAGCGAAACGGTAGCCTGTGTGGAGTTCACATAAAGATGAGCACACAGTACAGTACCTGCCAGATAACGTCAGGATCAAAACAGAAAGGGGGGGTCGTGTTCTGCAATAACAAAGCAGATGTTTGCACCTCTTATGAAATCCAACAATACAAACTGACAAACATCAGATACTACTGAACATGCACAAAATGAAATAAATACACAAAGTGTTCCCATCAATATTGACCAATAAAAACAGGTGATTTTGCTAAACTTTGCGCTGCCAAATTATGTTTCTGTTTCTGGTCACCCCACAAAAAAGATGAACCCACCACACAGCTGTGTTCTGCTTGTTTTGTTGAATTCCTAATTAATTCAGACAGATTTAAATTGCACTTTCATATTTTTAAGCGTTAGGGCGTTTTGAGACGTGCAACTTGTTAATGTGAAGACAAATCACCAAATGTATTTGGAAAATAACAGATTTTACTGTAAAGCTGCCACTTTTACATCAAGCACTTGCCGAACGTACACTGAATGTGTGTAAGGGCGTGGGGGGGATTACACACAGACACGTGGAGTCAACTGCATTTTTCACAGCACTAACGGCTTCAAAGGGTCGAGATGAGAGTGAAAGCTTCCATATGTGACATTTGCAACAAATTGAATAAGTGCTCAACTCTGCATGAGCCAGTAATGGACTTCACTCGGGGCGTGACTGCCATGCAGATGGGTCGTCACAAAAAGTCCATGTTGCCTCAATCGTTTATGCATGTACTGTCTGCGTTTGACTTTCAGCTGCTGTTAAAATGACCGCAGCCTTTTTCAATAATTTAAATCCTGCATGGTGAAGGTGGTGCCCAATTAAACCAGACAGAAGGCAACAGGTGAAACTAACTACGTGATACTGTTGGGAATAAAAGGACATCATATACGTACAATACGCAACACGAGTCAACTTGATGATGTGCAATATAGTTGGGCATGAGGAAGTACAATGATAATCAGGCCTATAGTAGAAAGACTATTTGTAAAATATTACCCATCTGAAAGCCGTTCTTAGTCCTACCTTCACGTCAATGACAGTTTGCAGAGTTCTGGTCTTAGCCGGATCAGCCTGAAGCTGATTTCGGCGATGGAGCTCTGGAGGAGGAACCCGGTAAAAATAAGCCTGGCGGCTCATCATCTTTAACACTTTCTAACACCCGCAGCTTTGGATCAATCTCGCTGGCTTCTTCTTATTCACTCCATTGTTCTTAAGCGTTCTGAAAAAATGTCTAAAATAATCCACACCTGTGCTTCCTGAAGCCGTGAATTAAACTTCCTCTTATGATCTTCAGGCTGCTTCCTGATCTGACACTGTCCTAAAGAGGTTTTCTTGTTCTAAAAGCAGACGCTGGTGTCCGTTCTCTCTGCCTTTTGTTTTTTTGTCTAGCCTTTTGTCTCTATTCACCAAAGGAAACAAGACACACTCAGCTTTAGGTGGTATCAGTCTGTCTCGATCATTCTTCCAACTAAAATCTTTCGATTTCTTATCTCCCACTTCTTTTCACCGTCTCCCTTACAGATGTCTCTGGCATGCCAAAGCTTCTCCTTAGCAACGCGTTTGGCCGGCACATGCGCTAAGCTTTTTCTATTAAATAATTAATGGTAGCTCTGACCTGCAGCGATGCCTACACAAAAGCAAGCCCACATTCAAGGCAAACACATACGCACACAACAAATTCTGGCACATAAAAAGTTTTGTTTTGTAATATAGCGCATTACTTATCTGCTTTATTTAAGCAGCAATGCAATACAGCAATGTTCAGTCAGGTCATCTGGATGGTTTCTCTTTTTTGCTGAGACGTTTCGTCCTTCATCCAAAGGACTTCATCAGTCCGAGGAGCCACAAACAAATTAAGTCCCACAAGCAGCACACTCCCATAGTGGGGGAAAAAAAACAGTTTGCTGGTGATAAGAGGATTTCTGGGGCCCATCTAATCACCAGCAAACTGTTTATTATTATTACTATTATTGTCATTATTATTGGAATGTGCTGCTTGTGGGACTCTGTTTGTGGCTCCTCAGATTGAAGTTCTTTGGATGAAGGACGAACCATCTCAGCAAAAAAAAAAAAAAAAAAAAAGAAACCGTCCAGATGACCTGACTGAACTCTGTTGGATTTTTTACCTGGATTACTGAGCATGAACTTTGACATCAATGCAGTAGTTTGACTTCAGACTGTGTCACCAGTATCCCACTATTCAATGCAGCAAAACAAAAGTCCAAAGATGTGTATTTAAATGCTAATTTACCAGGAGAGTAGATCAATGTTCTCCTTTTAAAACAGCTGTGTGTACACCAAGGCGGTCAAATATATTCACAGTCAGACGCCACCCAGCACAACCGCAGCCCCACTGGGGCACCTCAGCTGTGACGATGAGGAAGAGGTACTGTTTTCTAGAGACATCACATTCATAAGACGAAACTGTTCTTTCAGATTGCGTCCATGTTTGTCTTTTCTAAAATCAAAAGTCTCATCAAACTAATTAAAGACATGATGAGTTGCAGGTGATGAAACAACCGCACGTACTTTTTTACTGATGACACAAAAGCAACTTCCTTTCATAGTGGAAGGATTGTTTGTTACGGCTGCAAGAAAGAAAGAAAAAACGAGAGACTTGTTCAGGAAAAAAAGAGAGTCGAAAATAAAACACATGCACAATCCAATTAAAAGGGATCTCAAGAAAGTCGAAAATGAAAAGAGACACATCCCTTGGACTAACAAAGTTCAACAAACAGAACAAAAATATTGTACAGACCTACAAAAAGAGTCAACATGAAATGAGTTTTTGCTTTTTGGGGTTGTGCAACTAAGTTGAAACGAGTGGAGACAGGGACATTATCCTCTTGTTCATGTCAGCTGTGGATAAGGAAGGATTACTGCTGTCAGAATGTACCTCCTACAGATTGGCATTGCCATTACTGCAACAGAACTAATCTTGTGACCAAACGTGTATGAATGTGCCACTCTGAGCAGGGGTTGGCCACCTCTGTCTTCTTGTGGCCTGTGCTCACTTCTCTGTCTCTTTGAAAATGTCTGTTTATGAACTCTTTATCAACGGCAATTCTCAAAACTGTTGTGTCTCTCAGCAGGGGAAATTAAGTCATGCAAGAGAGCACGTCATCAAAGACCGTCTCCTCGGCTCCATATGTGTCAGAACAGAGCATATGGAATGAATAGGATCAAATATAACTCTCGAGCAAAAGGTCCCGCCATCCTGGCTGAAGGATACGGTCAAAAGGTTCAATTCTAGCCTTGAGGCAGTGGTGATGTGTGCACCATACACAAACAAGAGTGGGCAGTGTTACGTTCCCTTGGTTTGGGTAGTGGATTAGGAAGAGAAACAAGAATGTCCAACTTGTGTAATATTCAAGGATAGCAAATTATAAGTAAAAAAAAAAGTTTAAATAAAATGTTTTTTAAATGTGCCCAGTTAAAATCTTGATTAAAATAAATTATTATTATTACACTGCTTCCACCAAGAAAAACATAACAAATAAAGAAGCTGTGCCATAGGAAACAACTGCATCCAGCCACGTGCTGCAGCTAATACAAGACGCACAATAAGAAAGAGAAGAGGCCCGTAAAGAACATAAAACACAGATTCAAAATTCATCGATCATAATCCCATTTCTGGTGCCTCAGTCAACAGAAAAGGAAGCTCAGCTGTTCACCAGAAATGTGAAAATCGTCTCAGATACTTACACCAGAACTTAACAAGACGAATGGAAAACCAGAGAAAATCAAAGCCATGAGGAGGTTTGAAGTGTGGAATGCTTCAATAAACTTTACAACGCGCACACTCGGGAAAATCTAAACAATCCTCAATATTTCCTAAAAGATACCTGAGAGGAGCCTCATTAGCAAAAACTGAACTTAGTCACCTAACAAAGAGAATGTATAAGCTACAGGAAGTGAGAAAAACAAAGGATCGATCGACATAAAATTCAAATGTCAACAACTTGGCAGGAAAAAGTTTTAAAATGCTACATTTCTGAAGTTTCATCGGGGTTTAAAGGAAAGAGCATTTAATGAGGAAGCTGCCAAAACAACCAGGAGGTGGTCTAAAGCCAGGAACCCTACGAGTGCTCGCTCTTGTGTTTTAACATCATTACCGAGCCCACACTGAGTGAAATGTCTGCACATAAAAAAAGCTCTTTTTAAAACCCCTACAGACCAGATGACAACATCACTTTTATTATATGCAAGAATATATAAATGCCAAAGTAGACTTCTAAGTTTGAGTAACCCTTTGTCAGCAGGTCAGAGCTGGGCAGGAACAGTCCGATGGAGCGGCTGTTATTATTGGCTCTATAGGGACCTGGTGGCTGGGGAGAGTCAATTAGGCACAGATTTATGCCTCTCAGCATGTATGTGTGTGTTTGTGTGTCCCATCATAGTAAAGTTTGGTTAGCTATTACAGGCATTCACCACCTAAACTCTAACAAACAGCACCACCTGGTGTTCATATCTGGTACTGCTAACATTTACACACTACAGTAAACGTTTTAGCTGAGAACATATACATACAAACACCACAGTGTGGTTTCCACATTATGATTAGAAGATTATTTAAGTGTACCCATCTAAACAACAATAAGATTAGAAATATGTTAATCTGTAGGTCTGCGCACCAGGCTGATAAAACTGGACAGGAAACACAAATGAGTTGCACCACTGGAAACCCCATCCCCTGACAACATACATCAGCTGATAAAGAAGTGATGGAGTGATCTCTGCAGTCATACATATCCGCAGATCCGCACATAAAGACATACTGTTCAAGTAATTCACATCTGCTCATTTGTTACTCCTGAATGGCACAATAAAGGAAGTAAAGATACAAACGTCCATGTATTTTATTTTTTTACACATCGCATATCTTACGCTGTACTTATATTTAAAAAAAAAATTACCTAAACACATATTAAGGATTACCATTTGCTTTCCATGCCATTAAAATAATCCAGACTCCATGTCAGCTCTCACCCACGTTTAAAGAATAAAAGACATGCAAACTGAAAACAGAGGCATTTATGAAAACAAGCTGGCTCGTTTGAAAGACAGCAAAGAGTGCGCTAATGAAAAGCAGTTGGCCTGGTTTCCATTGGAACTAATCAGAAAACTAAATGAAGTGCCCCCCATAATGGAGGCAACGCACAGAACTATTCCTGCCTTGCATTCACCGTGACATGTGCAAGTGAAACACATAAACAAAAGGAAGAGACCTATACCTGAACCAGGGTTGTAATGCACCGAAAGTCTTCAAACAAACCAGCTTTAAAAAAGTATCAATCTGTAATGTCCGTAAACAACTTTGATGGTTTTAAAGGAATGTGATCAAACTAAATGTAAAACCGCATGTACTGTTACATTCTAAATGTATTTGCATGCATGTGTATGAGACTCCATCCCACCCTTCACAGAAGAAATCAGAGGTGTGTGTGGTTATGTGGGGGGTAGGGGGTGGATGAAAGAACAACATTCCTCTCTCTTTTCAATCAGGGAGGTCAGAGAGCTTTCACTCATTAATCATACATTAATATTCAGATAAACACAGCTTGTTTTTCTTTTTATAAGAAAATAGAACCCTTCTCTCATTTCTCCCCCAGACAGACATCTCACACCCGGCTGCCCCCTCCTCCAAAGCGTACAGCTTGTGTTAAGCTGTCAAATGGTTAAAAATAGCTTGTGTGAACAGGTACTCTCTTACACACAGACACATGCAGACACTCATTAAACGCCTGCATTAGCATCAGCCGAAGCAAACTTCTTTTTTTTTTTTTTGACAGAAGCACCTCAGTGGCCAAACAACCAGCATGGGTGGATATCCCATCAGCCACTGGTAATTCCTGAAAGGGGGTTTTCTCACGTGAGACGCTAAGCCGAAGGGCTCCAGATGTGTACGCATGCGCACAAACGCATACTGAACCCAGAGAGGGAGATACAAGGACAGAGAAAAAAAAAACAGGAACATTATGACAGAAACAATATCAGGGAACACACACACAAATATAGAGGTAGGGAAATTAAAGGCTAAGAAGATTTAGAAGTTATAAATAGATAAGGCCGGAGCGAGGAGCTACAGAGCAGCCTCCAGCCAGCCCTCAGAGCCGAAGATACAGACACACCTGAGCTGCAGCACCACCCACTGCACAAAAAACTGTTTAAAAGAAAATAAATATAAAGATCCTACCATATATATTTTTTGATAGGCTGCAATAAAATCCCAGATTTTTTTTTAACATTTTGTAGCTGCTCACGTGCTGCATGTAGTAAAATCCTAAATGCAAACGCTAAAGATCAACAGCTATGTGAGAACGTGGAGCACAAACACACACAAGCAGAGTGACTGTAAAACTGCATGGATGAACACAAGCTTAGTGTTAGCTCTCAGTATGTTAATCTGGCTCATTGATAAGGCTCGCTGAGCTGCTTTCTACTCCGGCTCTCTACCTAATACAAAAAAATACAAAAAAAAACTGGTGTTCACAAAGACACTAAGACATGCACAGCCAAATGTTTAAACTGATAAGCTTACCAATAAAAGACTGAGGAACAAATGGAAAATAACAGATTGTGTATCAAAAAAGGAAGCAGAGGGTGAAACAAGTTGTTAACCAGTATAATACAAACTTCATGGTGGGGTAAAAACCACATACAGTGTTTAACTCATATTTCTGTATAATGCACATTTAGTTTCTAATCCAACATTTTTCAGTCAGGTCATCTGGACAGTTTCTTTTTTTGTGCTGAAACGTTTTGCCTTCGAATGCAAAATGTTTCAGCACAAAAAAAGAAACTGTCCAGATGACCTGATTGAAAAATGTTGTATTGTATGCCTGGATTATTGAGCATGGACTTTGTTATTTAGTTTCTAAGTTTCTAAATAATCTGTTGCTTGTGGATTTTTTTTTTATGAGAAAAAAATGATAAAATAAAAGAGATTACTAAAATATGATTTAGTCAATGTTGTCAAAAATGTGAAGAAGAAAAAAAAAACGCACCTCTTTCAAATGCATGTTCTCCAGCTGGGCTTCAGCCTCCTGCGCTGCGATGGCTATTATCCCTGTCCGCTGCCCCCGGCCCTGTCCTTGACCTTGACCCTGAAGCATCTCCAGCAGCCTCTGAATGCTCTCGTCTCGAGCCCCCAGAGTCTGCTTCTGGGAGTCGATCCTGATCTCCATGTCCTCCATGGTCTTCCTTAACTGGGACAGCTCCTTGGCTTGCCGCTCGTGCTCCGACTGCAATCTGAAGAAGTTCTCCTCTGATGGATCCAAGGGAGGAGGTGAGGAAAAGCCATCACACCCAGGCACCTGACAGGGGCTGCAGGGCCGAAGAGAGCCAGAACTGGTCCCGACTGCTGGACCTTTGCTGGGACTGTAGAGCTGATGATTTGGACTGGTCCTCTGCCCAGGCTGAAAGGCACCAGCTGGGCTCAGTCTCTGTGTGGCTGCTGCAGAGTTACAGCCATACCCAGGGCTGTGGATGATGACATCAGCTTCTTGTTGCCTTGGGTTACAACGCAAGGTGTTAGATGGGCTAGCTTTGGGGCTGTTCTTTGGTGCAGGACTGTGCAGGTTTATGAGACTGTGCCTGGGGCTGTGTTCAGGGCTCAGTCCTCTGAACTCCTGATCCACGTGGTGTTCTCGATAGGAGTTCCCCTGATACCGCTGTTGCCGCTGGCGACTGTTCGTCTCTCTGTGAGCTTTAAGCTCCTCTTGTAGCTCCTGAACTGTTAATGGAAGTTGCTGTGAAAGCAGAAAAATTTTGTTCGGTTATCAAGCAAATCATTCATTCATGCCAAAACTGAGTGCAAGTGAGAAAAGATGTCCAGGAATGTGTAAAAGTGTTATGACACATCAAAACAGACCTTGTTCCTTCTGATATCTTCTGACTGCAGCAGAAAGACGTGACAGAAACATACACAAACAGAACAAACAGAATGCCTCTGAATTTCAAACAAGTATTTCCTCGTCATCTTAAGTTTGTAAAGCTGTGGATGTCGGTTACATGGTTTGACCAGAGGAGGGCAGAAACCTCTTGGAAATAAAGGTAGAACAGAGACGGAGATATGAAGGAGGGAAAATGCATGGGTGCAGAAAAACAAACATGGAAAGGAATGGGGACCAATTTCATGTAAGAAATTGTTTCTAAATTCAGCATCTATGCACAAAAAAAAAGATTATTTATAAAATACTTTATAGTGAAAGACCCATAATTTAATATCAGACAACACTACTTCACCTTCATTTAAATATTACAGTGTTGCTTGACAGTATAGTACAAAGTAGCTGAGAGTGGATATTTGATGAATGCAGCTAAAGCTAATGGGAATTTCTCCCCTATACGTACAACAAAATAATTAATATTACTTTGCTTTGTGAGTGCATTTCAGTTTCTATATTAATGCACCAATTCACAACAAATGGTATCTGAGAGCAATATAAACATTCACATAAACTACAAAATGCAAATTAGTAAGAAGTTATTTAAGGAAGCTGGAAGATTGTGTCGAATCTCCACTTTATCTCGATGTCTCATCCTGAGCAGAACGATGCCGAGCAGAAAGAACGGTTCCCTTTTAACAAGAAGAACCCGCCAGCAGAACCAGACTCAAAATAGGCCGTCATCTGCACATGCTGGCAGATGTTAGCTGCTAGGTTTAGATTTATTAAGAGTTCCTGTGCAATGAAAAGTTGGAGTTAACTTTCGATTACTGTGGACTGCAAAGCCACAAAACTGGTCGGAATTTTTGAACATTGCAAAAGTGAAAATGAAGATTTAATTAAAAAAAAAAATTGAAGGAATAAGAAATGCAATTCTTTTTTTTTTTTGTGAGATCATAATGATGAATTGTTGCATTGTATAGCATCTTTGGGGATTTTTGCACATTTGCCTGCAAAATAATTCCTATTTTTGCAAAGTTTTTATATTGGTTCCAGAAGTGTGATACTCAGATGGAAGAAGTGAAAGGTTCTAGTCTCATGAAACTCCACAGTAAATACTGTAATGAGGAAATTATATTTTTGCTGTAACTTTAAATATTGTGTCAAATGATAAAAAAGTTTGTCTCCAAATTTTACAGTTATTCACAGAATCCCTTTTTATTTAGCAACAAAATGTCTCCAGTTTCACGTTATGCAGCATAAACCCAAAGAATGATACATATCTCTGCTAAACAGATAAGGGACAAGATTTTTCATTAAATATTGTATATATTTTTATTGTCTAACCAAATATCCAAATGTCGTTGTACTCGGGTGCAATGACAGCAACCTTAGTTTGGTGTAAATGTAAAGAGAGAAAGAGAACATACTTTTCTCTACAAACTTTTTCCAGAAAAGCTGCAAAATGGAACAGAGAACAATCTGTTAGGAACCTCATTTACTAAGGTTTGTTTTCTGCAGAAGTTCTAACCTTCAAATCAGTTTTCTTGTCTTTTTCAATTAAATCACGTTTATTTCTGACAATCATTTATCTTTTCATAACCTTTATTCTGTTTTGGACTTATATGTGTTTATAACTTAAGTCAGCTCAATAGAAGAACACTGGTTGTGCAAAACAAAAAGAAAAACATTAAACTTAACATTTCAAAAGTATCAGCTTTAGCATTCCTTTTTAACCTTCTGAACATCAGCTACTCCTTTACTCACTAAAGTATTTACAACAATTCAAATGCTTAGAATTTTTTGGTTGCAGTTTAGTTTTGTTTGGAAACTGTTGCCTGAAATGTTAAAAAAGCCAGATGTAATGAGGGTTGTACAAATACTGGTAAATGAGCATGATTGAGTCACTCTGCTCAGAGAAATGCATTTGCAATGCTTTACTGCAAGAACCGATCCACACAATTACAAAACAAAGGCAGCTTTGATTATTATTATGTGTGCAGCCAGGTTCCTCCATCAGTGACTGCACAACCTCCGGGTAGCAATACATCAAACCATCGCTCCCACCTGCAGCAGCTCCCCTCTCCCCCATTGTCAAAGTTGGTTTAGCCAATGAAATTTGCTTTTATTCATCTCCTAACGCAGATAAAAAGTGTTTTTAAAGGTGAAACAAGAACATCAACGGATGTAGACAAACTATGCTGGAAAGCACTGCAGACAAATGTGTGGAAGTAACGTTTCTTCTTTTCAGGAAGACATACAAGGACAGAACTGGTTACTGAAAGGAAACGACGACGATGAATCTGGTAATTAGTAAGAAATGCCAGGTTGTCAGCATGTTGCCAATCAGACCAACAAAACCCTTACATGAAATTTAGGGCATCTGATATTAAAGATGCTAATTCAAATGATCAAGGTCGATTAGGCTGATTGCTTCAGAAGCATCTTAAAGTCTACTGAAAAGCAAATCCTTTATCGAAAATACACAGTAAAGTTAGCAGAGTTACAGGAAAAAGCAGAGTTTGTGGGTTAACCGTTAAAATAAGCACAATTTGACATTTAATTACGTCTACAAATAAAAACTTCAGGACTGAACTGCTCTCCACTCTGAAGGAATAAACCGACCGTATCTCAATGATGCAAAGAAGGAACAACAAGGAAAGGCTAAAACGAAACACGAACATTTACACGAGCATGGAAAAACAAATAAAAAGTAAAGTTTGTGTTTGTTTTAACTTGTGCGAAGCTAATATTCATTTTTGCGCTGATAGTTTGATTCCTCTGTTCGTGTCCAGAGGGAGTGGAGTTCCAAGGACGCAGAGTTGAAATGTAGGACAGAGGCGAGGGAGCCACAGATAATCGATGCAACATCCAGTGCTGAATATTAAGTTAGAGTGGGAGGACAATCCAACACCGACCGACACATGCACAGCTCAGAGGCATGAACACACAAACACACACACCAAATAAAGCAGATGGTCAGTGGGGGGACTCTGATGTCTGCTGCTGAGAGAAAAGGTGACATTCCTTATGGTAATTAACACGTTCTCCTGTCAGACTGAACTTGTTCTTATATATAGCACCCCCCCCCCCCCACCCCCAAAATAAAAAAAAAATAAAGACACTGGAGGCAAATGATAAGGATAAGATAATAAGCTAGCGATATGCAGCAACAGAGGTGACCGTTTTTTTGTCTTTAGGTTTTTATTTTTCTGACTGTATCGTAAACACTGTGAGATAAAGTAATGATTAATGTTGAGAATGATGTATTTTACTGAGTTGCCTAATCAATACTGTGATCTGCCGAACGGCTGCATGTGTGTCTGAACACAGGTACAGACCGATACGAGTAAAACAAATAAATAAGAAAGAAAAATAGTTTGGTTTGTTAGTGAATATTTTTTTGCTAGTAAATGCAGAAAGTACACAATTATTTGTAAAACTACTGATTGGACAAAAAGCGTCATGTGCAGAAAACGAAGTTAAACTTTTCCATAAACTTGTTAAACTTGAGAAAAAAGGAATGATCAAGAACAAGTGAAAAAAATGTGCTTTGCAATATTTCTACAAAGACTTATTTACTGTTAGTGATGAAGGTGATGCATGTCTTCAATGCTTAATTATTTTTATTACTTTTTTTAAATAATTTTTTGTAAAAAAAAAAAATAATAATTTGTGTGCAAACGTGTCACACATGTGTCGTGGTGTCTCCACACTTTGTGACCATGTGAAATGAAAATAAATCTATAAATAAAAATGCAGAGGATGTTGCTTGGTTACAACAGGGGAATGCAGAAACTATTAAAAGTTTTGTACGCTGCGTGATGTGAATGAGCAACAGCAAAGTCCGGATAATGTTCGTTGTCTTCTGAACATTTCCTGATATGGAGCTTCTTAAAAACTATTTTTAAATCATTTCCAGTGGAGAGAACAAGAGCATACAAACATGGGAAAAATATTGCTCTGTAAAAATAAAGAAACAGAAGGCTAATGGGATAAAAACCAAAGGTAAACAAACACTACAGACATCAGGCAGTGGGTGAGTCACACAGATGGAGAACACCTCAGACTGAGGGGGACAGACTTCATGGAGAGATGGCACTGGACAGACTGGTTACCGTTTCTTCAGGAGAAGCTGCGAGTTTATTTCAAAGCTGGCAAACACCTCAGCAGATGCCATTAGTGCATGTTCCCATGGAAACACCATGTGCACGGTAAACACAATTAAACAGCACAAAAACTTCCAATGTAACCTTGAAGATGATGAGAGAGGTATGGATGACTAATGGAGGGTGTAACTTTAGTGTAAAGTCACACTAAAAATGCCTTGGTTGAAACATTTGTCAGGTTTCTCACCTGCATTTCTTCTTGGTTCACCCTGTACTGGTCTTTCACAACTAAGGTTCTCACTCCGTCTTCTCGCCAGCTCCCCTTATCTCTCTTTACATCCGGGCTCCAGAAATCGACACTGTTCGTGCCATAACCCGTCTTTCTATCCATCCCTTCTTTCAGTTCTCTCCGGAGACTGTTGTTCTCTCTTTGCAACTCCCTCAGCTGAGCCTGGAGATCATAGGTGGAAGCCTCTGTCCGCACGGCCAAATCTGACGTCTGCATAAATCTTCCAGATTGTCGTTGCAAACTTGAAGTCCCTTCAGAAAACGCAGCTTGGTCTCCACGAGTGTCCGACATGTGATGTGTTGCAGAGGATGTGATGTTTGGGCTGCTGCCCATGGCTGTTGTCCGGCTGGTGTAAGAGGAGCGGCTGGTGCTCCGACCTAATGTCAGGGTGCCCTTAGGATACCCACCAGAGGGTTCCAAGGACTCTTGCTTACTGGGATACATGGTGCCAGAAGTGGCATAAGCAGCGCTTAACGACTGAATGTTCTCCATGGACAGGGTTTTACCACTTGGAGCTCTTGCTGACCCATGAGCTGAGCCTTTGTCTGCTGCTGTGCCAGCTTTGATTTTTGAACCAGGCTTTGACACTGACCCTTGCGTTCCAGCCAGCTTAGACGCTTGTGCGGGCGCACCCCCCGACACACAGCCAGGCTCAAGCCCCGAGCGACATCCTGGTGTTGAGCTCACAGCCTGTTTGCCTTTCCCCTGTTTAGGAGACCTTGAGAAGCGTGAATGAGATGCGCTTCCATCTGTGTGCCCACTACTCTTAGCAACTGCAGACAGCTTGCTATGTGCGGGCTTGGCTCTAATATTAATAGGCATTGTTGTATAGCAAAATATAACAGCTGAACATAAACTAGTAAGACTAGAAATATTTTCATACCCCTGTATGGAACCAGAGTGTAGTATTATGATTGTTAGGGGTCATTTTTGGGGCCTCTTAGTTTTCACCTGTCCATCCCGGGAAGCGCAGGACATGAAGCTTGCTTTAGTCATTTTAGAAGAACTTAATTGTGACTTTTGGCAATGGAACTTCTAAAGACGCAGTCCGGATGTGTTGTGATTTCAGCTACACAGCAGGTCATCGTGGGTTCTAGATAAGAAAAAAAAAACAGGAAGACAAATATTAAGACAAATGTACAAAGGGAATTCAAAAAGTATAACAACAAAGGTTACTCTCGTAAATAATGGGTTAAAGTACAGAGGTACAGGAAATTGACATCTATAGCAACCAGACTAGAGAATAACAAGGAATCGTAAAAAATAACAAGTCACTCCAACACCCTCACTCAGCGTATTCTTCACACAACCCAGTCTCCCCATTACAAAACAAACTAAGAACGATGTGGACCAGTAAGACCATGTCAGCACCACAGACAAAAGTGATGTAATTGTTGAAAAGTGTGTGAGAGCCTTACGGACTGCTGAGGTCTGAAGGAAAAACCAACTATTGGCTCATAAGGCGGCAAAGGGAATTGGAGGACCAGTCTTCATTAACTAGCATCCCTCGTGGGCAGCTACAAAATTACAATCAGATTTTGCTCATATGAAGGGATCCTTCAGGGTTCAACTGAAAAAAAAGAGGACAAAAATAGGCTTTTAGAATTTGGGCTAAATTCGACATAAGTCCAATAAAACTGTGTCCACACTGGAACAAACCCAGCCATGCTCTTTAATACTACTGTAGTTCATATTTAGTGGTAAAAGGGCTGTTCGTCGGATTTATAATAGTGAAACCAAACCATTTTAAATCCATTTTTTTAAAACATCCCCTGGAAACTACAAACATAATGACCCAGTCCATCCATTATTGGGGACTTCAGTCTACAAAGCAGAGGCAAATCCAAATCATAATCCCTCCTCTAATCTGAGAGGATTGGGTGCTGGGAGCCACTGAACAGGATGACACTGAGAGATTGGTCCAGTCTGCTTGTCAGTCATAACATAGCTGTCAATCCATTATTGTTTGACACAATACAGCCAGCCTTCCATTAAAGATATAGAACTGAAAACAATCCTTACATATTTGCATTTGACTTAAAACATTATACAGATATTAAAACTGATATGAGATCATTAAAAAATTAAATGAAAACTCATAGGAATCCCAAACATGTTAGCTAGCACTAAAAAGAGCTACAGCTACAATTTTCACAGAGGTGTGTTTAGTAATATAGCTCGAAGGCACGTGCAGATTTTCATGTTAAACAACAGTAAAATATGGAAACGCCAATAAGACGGATGGAAATAACCAAATTAGATGTCAGTCGGACTTTAAAATCAGCTGCACTACTTTTCAGCTGACAGCCAGCTGTTGCTGCTCAAGTCCAGCCAGCAGCCCAGCAGCAGCTCTTTAACCTGCTCTTCTCGTGAACTTCACACTTTGGAGCACCTAGCAGAACCAGAGGACGGTGGACAGTCCTACTAGGACCACGGCGGCATGACGGATTAGTTTCTTCTCATATGCACACGGCTAAAGATGAGTTCCAGCTCGTAGCTTACATAATAATTAATCTGCCACGCCAAACTGGCAGCGCCGCTCCGGTTTGTTTCATTGTTTCCTGATTAAGTGGTTCCGTCACGCGCGCAGAGTCCAGGTGTGCACTCACCGGGTGGCTCCAGCTCACCGGACAGGCTCCTCTCTCCATCACCGTCTCCTCCATGAGCTCATCTCAGCTGTGTGACCTGTCCTATCAGCATCCGGCCCGCGTGGGCGCGCTCAACCCAGCTGGCGCGTGCGCCACCACGAACTGTCGTGAGCTGAGTGAAGCTTCACTCAGCTTCGTGAGCTGAGTGAAGCTGACACCCCACCCACTTCCAAAATTAAAGCAAATAGTCTGAATGGTTAGTGCTCCGTTAGTGCTGGTTTGTGCCGTTAAAATTTTCGTTAGTGCTGCTTTGCTTTATGAGATATTAAAGATTAATTTTTAGGTCATCTAAAGGTCACCATCCCCCCATGTTGCTCCAAAACAGACGGGAGTGGTCTATTTTTTTAGTGCTTCGTTAGTGCTCGTTTGTTCCGGTGAAACTAGCGTTTGTGCAGCTTTAGTTTATGAGATATTAAGCATTATAATTTCGCCCCCATGACGTCACCATCCCCCCATGTTGCTCCAAAACAGACGGGAGTGGTCTACTTTTTTAGTGCTTCGTTAGTGCTCGTTTGTTCCGGT